ATTTCAAATTCTCTCTTAGTTTTCTCCTATTTTTCAATTTCAACTGTCAAATTGCCAACTCACTTATTCTCAATTTCATCTTTAATATGGAAAAACTTCCGAGATAATGAAGATAATAATTTAAATACCTCAGAGCCAAATTGAAACGCTACTGTCATAAATAAAACCTAGCTGTTTTTTGCCAATTTTGAAATATTTTGCTGAATTAGTGAAAATGATTACTTCATATCCTGCACACAGTCATTTAAGTTATGTGGGGCTATGTATAAAATACCATGTATATCTTGAGGACTGACATTCTTCAGTACAGCAATTTAACCACAAAAAACATTTACCAAAATTCATTCAGTAAAAAGAAAAAAAAAATCTATAACCAAATTAGACTAAGACAGGAGTTTTGTAAGTGTCATTTTAGATATTAATACCATTAAAGTCTATTTGCGTCATTGCATTTGTCAGAAAATTTCAAATTTTCTATAACATAATCCATTCTAAAATGTATTGAAATTGGTTATTTAACATCATAGAAATAGAAAATATCTATGCTGGACAATCCCCCGGATGGATTCAATCAGACTGAAAAGAGGCACCTCAAAAGATTTCAGTATTGTGTTGAATATATTGTCTGTTGTGCTTGCTGAATGTTGAAATATTTTCATTTCATTATGTCTTTGTAAAATTGAACACTATCAAAACAAAACATCCCTCATAGCACACTATCAGGACAAAACGTCCCTCATAGCACACTACTGTATGTCCATCTTCATTAGACCAGTTGGTGCAGAAAAGTAGGACATTAACCCCATTTCATTTCATTTCGTATTAGTCTATTTCACTTAATTAAGCTATCAATATATTCTGATAATATATAATAAACATATTAAAATCAACAAAACAGTTAAAATATATTAAAAAAAAACCAACAGAATCATCTGAGCGAGAATTAAACATTGCTATATAATTAAATTGGATATGTAACATAAAGTAAATTGTAGTACCAAAGTTTAATTGGATACTATTCAATAAACGACAGGAATAGTGGTAAAAAAACAATAAAATCAATCGGGGGAATATGTACTATAAGCCTTGTACATACTGTAATAATAATATCGTATATAGCGGACAATAGTTTACACATTGATCGAAGAATATACTGCCATGTTAGGTTTTTTTTTAATGAAATTAGTAAACACCCAACCTCCCTGAAATCAGTAAACGATGAATGTCATGTCTCTAATTCTGTGAACAGCATGGACAACTTTCTTTTAAATGGCTTTGGATTAATTCATTAAATTGAAGGAAAACAATGTCACATAGCTCATCTAAAATGTATCGAAGAAATGGGAGATTCTGGCGGACAATTTCAGGGGTCCTACATATTGGCATTAACTTGGTTTTCAATTTAACTTTTCTGACTATATTTGGTCGAGTTTAATCTCTTACTGTTCTACACCAACTGAGCTAATGAAGACAACCATGCACTCTTCTATGCATGGAGAAATTATGTTCGGCCAGCGACGCTACAACCTATTCTTATTTTTGATTTCTAACTATCTCAGGATCTATAAGGTACTGCTAATGGTATACCCTACACAGGACCTTTGTTTTTTTCCCACCCGAATAACTAGATACTCTTCCATGCTGGACCCTCCATTCTGTTCCACAGAAAAGGAGAACACAGCAGGGCCTAAAATAAGGTTAAATTTTCGTAGCACAGCTTCTGTGACCTATTCCGGCGCAGTTAACATTGGAGTTTATTGGGCTATGTGCAGCTTTTATTCGCATGGAAACTCTGCACTAGGAAGATAGCACACCACTTTTGTTTAGATATCATATCAACATCAAAACTCAAATTCTATCAGTAACAAGAGTACATAATTTTTTTTTCAGAGCACGGTTTTCTTGTGTTCGAACCACAGATTTTTCATTTCAAAGCACATTTGTGCTCCAAGGCACGTTATTTTAGGCCCTGGAACCCAGACCAGAAAATCACAAGGAAATCTTTCAGGCAAAAGGATAGAGCCCATGATCAAACCCTGTACATACTGGGCAGTGCGCGAGTCAGTGCCACTACATTAGTGGACAATAATCGTTTAGAGGCATTTAGTAACTAATTTGAGCAAAAAACCATAACACATACTTATGGAAGAACAATTACTGGTTTATTTAGGCGACGTTTTGAAGAATTCAATACAGGACAATGTCCTTGAAGTTTCACAATCCATACAAAGCTATATTTGGTTTCTAGAACAATCAAAACAACTGGATACTTTAACATTTCCTTCCTTAAAACATTGTTTCAGATGCTAATAAAAGATCAACAACAAAAAGTCACCAATGAAATTGGCCATTCTATCTGGAAATGTAATTGCTTGAAACCATCCTTTATGAATCATGGTGCCATCAATCTCTGTCTTGCTAAATTCAAGGTACAATATGTAGCAAGAATCATCAGAAAATATTATCATCCATCATCCATGCTACTTTCAGTGGGAAATGATAATGGATAGGGTTCTAATATACTCAAGAATATGAAGATTCATTTTGTCTTGGATGTTTTCAAAGTCTACCAATTTTAATTATACATGCAATGTTTGGGAGAATTTGACTTGGATGTAAATGCAGAATACAGAGGTTTGGTCATGTCCGGGGCCAATTCCTTGATTGTATGCCCGCAATTTTAGGACCTAGTATTGAGAAATGTAAGAAAGGAAGACATTTTAAATTGTCTAAAAATGCTGCTTCCCTATGTAAAAAGACCACTGCAATTTTGTTGTCTGTGAAAATTTATTGGTAGGCCTGTTTAGAAAATGATTGAATCCAGGGACATTATTATTTTGATTTCGTTTTCTTTATTAAATATTATTTAATCAATCAGGGTACATGCCGTATTAGCGTAGATTAAAGTAGTAGCTAAATCTCTAACTCAACATCATCTAAAGTCTTTGACAATGAAAATACAAATTATTTGTCAATTTAAATCAAATTTGATGTTGTAATCTTACTGGGAAAAGATGGACTTCTGATATCCAATATTTAAGGCAAAATAAACATTTTACCATTGGTACACGAATCGTGTCCCATAATGCATTTCAGCGCCATTTGTAACAAGGGACTAAAAAAACAAGGCTAGACATATTCCACAAGTCATGTCAAACGGTGATGCCATATTCTTATCTAGAGAGCATGCGCAATAAATACCATTGGTGTAAACTGGAATAACCAGATGTTAGAGATTGCCATTCGATTGAGACTTCTGGCGTATTTTGCCGAACATAACTGATTTGAAATTAGACTAAAAACGGAAACGATTGAATGTAAATCAGTTTATACACATTCATATTACATTATTATACATGTATGTGTTGCGACCCATTTGTGTCCATTTCTAAGTCCCATATATTATCTCCTTTAAGCCGTCAGAAATTTTATATTTTAAAGAAAGAGCAAACGACGCATCGTCAATTAATTAATTTGTAGAAAATGTGGAACTCAAAAGTAAAGAAAAATTACTAGTCTGCAGAAAATGTCGTATTTTTATTTATTTATTTTTTAATTTGTTTTAGAAAATTATTGAAATGAGAAATGATGCGTATGGTATGAAAAGTGAACAAAGATTTTTTGGCTACAGAAACTGCTGTATTGAATTAAAGATAGGCTGCCAGACAACAAAACATACAACCACAGCAGATAGGTCATCCGGGCAGCTAACAGAAGTTGGATATTAACTTTAGCCTCTAGCGCATCCAGAAGACATTTCAAAGTGATCAAGGGTCATAACTCTGCCAGTAATTATTGGAAATCCTTGCAAATCAATAGGATTCTTCATCTCATGGCCTTAAACACTGTGTATAAATTTAAAGTCATTCGGATATTAACTTTAGCCTCTAGAGCGTCCACAAGCAATTGTGGATGCCAACCGGACCGAAGGATGGGGGCATATAAAAAGTAGAGAGAAATAATAGCCGACAGAAAATATTTTTGACCTAAATCAAAAGGTTTATCTCCCTTTATATACAAATTTCATGTTGATTTATATTTCAAATTTTTAAAATTCTTGTATATTTTTGTAACTCATAACTTAAAGAATCATTAGTAGATAAATAAAAGTACCCCACAACTAATACAGCACTGCTTCATGCCACTTTCATTTACAACTAGACCTTGAGTCAAATTAATTTGAGACAACTTCAGCCAAGATTGGCATGAATGGAAGGAGGGGTTGGGCATCCAGGGCCTATTTTAACATGTCTCTGGATAAAAAGTCTGTGCTTTAAAAATCTGAAATCTGTAGCCTTGTAAATCTGGCAAGATTGTATGGGGAAACTTAGCTGTTATGATCATCAACCACTTTGATGTATTCTCACCAACACCTAAAGCACGAAAATTACATACAACATCGTCAGGTGTTTGGATGTTTCTTTTGAATGGTAATTATGCTGTCACACGGTTATAAATATAAATATGTTTTTTCTGTTTTATTTTAGTTATAAAAGTGTAAGCGTGATATTGTGTTATCGGAAGTCAACTTCTGGAAATTTTAACAGAACCCCAAAACACGGGAAACCGAGCTTCACAAATAAAACCTTAAAATAGGCCCTGCAGTCATCTAAACCATCCAATTAACAAATCATTATTGCGTACATTTATCAAAACTACCATTCTCTCAATTAATACAACAATTCCTAAATTAGCTCATTTAATCTGACCAATAATGTGTGATATGCTGTGTCATATATACTGTAAGCCATTACAGGAAAAAAATACAACTCACCTTCCAAAAATATTAAAGAAATCAGAGACAATATAGTTTAACTACACTCCTGATAAGATTAATTGATTGATTTGTGACGATCAGGCATGTATGGAGAAGTCTTGATCACATTCTAATCTATACGGTGATAAATACATGTTATATTAACCGGTTATCACTGGCTTCTTATTGACCGTTTGTTTTTGATAAACTGTAATATTATCTTTAATCAATAACATACACTTACCTTCGCTTATAATACATAGATATATCCTAATCTTATTCCACTCTTATATCACTCTTATAGGGTGTATACTGTTATTACTCTGAATCCCATTAGCTCCAACCTATCTTAATATATCTATCTGTTCTAGTATTAACTAAACACGGTATGGTCCCATTTAGTGTAACACACCAGTAAATAAGCTATCACAGTTCTGCTAATCATAGGTGTCTTACAGGTGAAAAGAGGCCTGACTATCGCTCTTTTGTATGTTCTCACTTGTTTTCCACCGTTGGTTAGTTCAACCGCTGGCTTCAACCCTGGTCACAAAGACACAGAGCTGTCTTTACTACTCAAATATACAAACACAATATTAGACAGCCAAAGGTGTCGAGGGGTATGTCTACTTCTTGCTTCTGTTTGATTTCTGTATCCTCCATGCGATTGTACTTAACTTCAATATGGCTGACAAATACTTTAGCGATTTGATTCAAGCCGTTCCCTCGTCTTTTTATTCAAACTGTGTTGAAGCAAAGCAGTAGCTTATTCACAAAACCACCCCAGCTATTGTGTATTTGATTGTATGAATAGCTTGGGGCTCTTATAGAAAGACTGTGAGAGGACAAACACTCAGTTGGAGTTCACCAGTTCTTGGGTTTCTTTAATACTAAGAGTATTGAGGACACCTTCATATGAAACTTAATACCACATCATAAAGGCTTTTTTATACAGCCAATTTCATGTATGTAGGGTTTTTTTTAGGGCACATTCTTTTATATATCTATATGATATATTATATATCATTGACTGCTAGTGACTATATAAGTAACTAATATATAATTCTCTATTATATTAATATTAAGGTGTTATCTATTGACTGCATGTGTTAATGTATATTTGTATGTTACTAAACACTATAATACTTTCATGTAGGGGTTTTGTTTAGTTTTTTGTTGTCTCTTCAGTCCTTCACGTTTAAGGGGAGCTTTCGCTCCTGCTCCTCTCGACACACGTCGGCTTTCCCTCGAAGGAGTCATTAAAGACTCATGCAAATTAGCTAAATCGCTCTCCTAAATATTGAGATTAATAAACTACTTTCAGTTTTTGTTTACTTTTAAACTGCATATATTCAAGGTATCAGGAGCTTTTTATGGCTCCCGCACAATTTTATAAAGATGAAGGACTGTCTCTTCATTTTTTTGGGATGGATGGGGGGGGGGGGGCATTTTTTTTATATGACGATGTGTAGGATTTTTTTTTGTTTAAGTATCTAATATATAATTCTCTATTATGTTAATATTAATGTCTAGTACAATGAGTGCATGTGTTATTATCTTTTTTGTATGATGTGTAACTAAACACTATAGTACTTTTCAGCATGTACCCTTTTTGGGGGTTTTTTTTTTGCATTTTCTATCATATTTCATTATATTATATATCATTGACTGCTAGGGAGTATATATAAGTATCTAATATACAATTCTCTATCATATCTATATTAATATTAATGTCTAGTCCTTTGAGTGCATGTGTTAATGTACATTCTACTAATCGTTCGATTACTCTCAGATGAGGGATCAAATATTCTTATTACAATAAATTAATTGCCTGATTAAATGTGTATCAAAATAAGCCATCACAGTTTATCACCTTTTAGGATAATATTTATAATTGCTAGCATCGTTGATGTAAATTAAATTACGTTGTGATTTTGTATTAAGACGGGATTTTATTAGAAGATTACAAGTATTAAATCCAGTTTAAGATTCCCGGTTTAACCCAGGGAAGGAAGTGATTAAAATAATTATAAAACATGCGTAAACTATAGCTAATTTTAGAAATTAACAAAACATCTATCTACTTACAACTCTATAGGTCTACACGTCCTTTCTACTTCAAATCTATGTTGCAGATGTTTACCAAAATGAACTTTCCATATTTTTTAAAACAAATCCCCAATTGGCAGATAAGATTGAACAAGGCTGTAATTAAGTTAATCATGTATTTATACTCGAGAGGTATTTAGTAATTGATTCTTTCATAATATAATATTAGAACACTTAGTATGGATACAATCACTATTAAAGGGTGTGTACCTCGATTCTTTGGAACCTAGACAAAAAAGTGGTCTCAAAGCCCATATACTTGTAATAACGTATATATAATAAGTATTAAAATTTCTAATCCATTATGTTCAGTGATATATTTATACTTACTAGGTATTTAGTAATTGATTCTTTCATAATATAATATTAGAACACTTAGTATGGATACAATCACTATTAAAGGGTGTGTACCGCGATTCTTTGGAACATAGACAAAAAAGGGGTCTCAAAGCCCATATACATGTAATAACGTATATATAATAAGTATTAAAATTTCTAATCCATTATGTTCGGTGAAATAAGTGAACAGTCCAAATTAAATGGCAGTCCATTATACATGTTTTGTCATCTGTAACAACTATGTTTGATTACTTCCACAATGTCTTCTGGAATATGTATTTCATTATAAATGGCACTAGAAACCATAAGGTTGTGTTTTTTAATTTCTAATATCATGGATAATACTGAGTTAGAGGTTTAGCTACTTTAATCAGGTATTCTTCTTCTTCTTCTAGTATTAAAACATCTTAAATTGAGGTATATATTTATCTTTGTGAAATAACTGAATATCTATTCAAGAAATTAAAATAAAATTTGTCTCCCCAAAGTTGTCAACTTTTTATCAAAATTTGGACAAGTCACTCACAGAAATTTGGTCAATCATTGCACTTCTATTAGGGGTGAAATTTCGACAAGGGTATGTTTGTGCGAAAAAAAAAGAGAAATTTCTGCACCACACCTTTGCGCTTCCAAGACTATGATGTTATTAAGACAACCACCCTGTTTCCACTATCTTCAGACGGAGTAATAAACAAATACAGGTTTCATTATTTCAGTTTTACTGATGAAATATAATTCTATCTACATGTAACTTCTTCATTCATTGAAATGTTCCATATATATATATATATCTCTCTCCAAGCAACAAAACCTGATTGTTGAATTTGCAACACAACAGAAAAAAGATAAAATGGAGAAAATAAAGAAATTATTTAATCTAATGGCTGTTGTTAAAAAAAAATACCCAAAAAACCCCCCAGATGATTATACTGATATTTTCTCATCCTTTCACTGTGCAGCGTTCGACATTCGACCTTTTGCCTAATATTTATAGATATCTGTCTTTACTGTTAATAAAAGTAGCAATAGTTCTTTCTCCTGTACAACCCAAGCTGGTAAATACAGATAAGATGGCTTTCATTTTACAATATTCTCAAGAGCAATAAAGAGCACATGTAGAAAAAATCGAGCTTCTTGAAAGACATGAAACACAAGCTAAAAACTTGACAATAAATTTCCACTGAATTCTCATTTAATCTTCTTTCATTTTAATTTTTTTCTTCTTTTCTCTCTCTGATGACAGTTTTCATTTTAAAGATATGTTGGGTTTTTTCTTAGTTTGTTTCTAAAGCAATAATACATTCTATGAAGCAAAGGATGGAAATAATTTCAATGAATCAACATCCATTCGTATGGAATTTTTGTTGTCTTCAAAGTCAGTCATCTTCACGCCTACTTTTTGCTATGGAGTTGTCCTACCTTACTACAGCACCTCATTAGATTATACAGAGGACTGTTTTAGTAGTAGCTTCACAATTTTTTCATGTCAGCGACCAATTTATGACGGACATATTTCTAATACACTAAATGCAGCAAGGCAAAAGATAAGTTGACAGGCAACGAAACATACGCCCACAGCAGCTAAATCGTCCGGGCAGTCAACAAGAGTTGTCGCTTATTTTTAGCTTTTCATAATACACTAAAATCTGATTAAGAGTAACAACTCATTAAGTAATTATCAGAAAATCATTAGAATTTATTTGTTTTTTATAAATTTCTGCCCCATGCTAACATTTAGTATAAGAAATATTTATTATCATGAATTTAGCTGTGCAAGTTATCAAAATTCATTGCAAATCAATATAAATTTAAAGTCAATCGGATATTATCTTTGGCCTCTACAGCGTTCACAAGATATTTTGAAGTGATCAAGGGCCATAATTATCGGAAATCGCTGAAAATCAATAGGATTCTTCGTCTCATGACCTTAAACACTGTGTATAAATTTAAATTCAATCGGATATTAACTTTAGCATCTAGAGCGTCCACAAGATTTTTTGAAGTGTTCAAGGGCCATAAGTCTGGCAGTAATTATCCAAAATCGCTGTAAATCAATAGGATTCTTCATCTCATGACCTTAAACACTGTGTATAAATATAAGTCAATCAGACATTAACGGATGGACGTGGGCAACGACAATATACGACCACATTTCAATGTGGGCGTATAAAACCTGACTGAACGTCCCTCCAGAAGCACACTCAAATGAAAAGCAGCCATCATACTTGCACGATTCCCTTACTGCAGGTCACATACAATTGGGAAACAACTAACAATCACCTTCAACATCACTGCTACACCCCCTACCGGAAATTCTCGTATTTAAGTCCTGCCATTATTAAGCCCATGGGCTAAATAACGAGTTTAAATTTCAAATTTAAGCCCATGGGCTTAAATTTAAAATTTATTTTAGAGTGGTCTCCCTTTTAAGTTTTCAAACCACATGTGAACTACAGGCTACGAGATGTTCTCCAGTCACACTCTGGTCTTGTACTGCCAAGCGAGGACCAACTCAGTGAGGACCCGTTCGAGGATTCCAGTTCAGACGAGGGGATTGATGGGTAACGGATGCTCACCATACTAGTAAAAGCTAGCCCTGAGATCTGATTTGTTCAAAGAACTTTGAAATTTAGAGTTTATGGACAGTTTCTTTTTGTATTTCAGAACATTTATGTGACGGTGTATCACAATTGTGTTTTAAAAGCCATTTTTGTTGATGAATTTGATTCGTTCCATTTAAAATTATAAAAAGAACCCAAATGTTTGTTTTTTCCTCTTTTCGAATTGAAGCCCTGGGCTTAATTTCAGAAGAAATGTTTCATCACTGACATCGTCAAATTCGAAATTAAGCCCAAGGCTTAAATACGAGAATTCCCGGTACTAAGGTGCCATAATAAGGCATTGGCTTATGGTGCTAAAGCTCAGAGTTCTCTGCCAGCTGATTCAGCAAAATGTTATTTCTTTTGTGAATGTTGAATCAAAGTTTAATTGTACTCTAAATTATCTATTCCAGTTCAATTAATATAGTGTTTGTAATAACTATGGTAAAACAAAAGACTGTGCTGTATATCAGGGCAGGGGTTGGTGATCGGTTTACATTTCCTAGATTCTTAACATATAAATTTTTTTACTGGGAACCTCACAGACCTTGGGGACCTACAAAATAATAATGCCCCAAGCCCACAAATTATATAAACCTTTACTATGTAACAAATAAAAACCTTTTTTGAACCATTATGGATCCCTTAAGTCCACAAATTGGCCAAGCTCTTAAAAAGCTTTTCAAACCATTATGGATCGGAGTCAAGTCCAGTATTCT